CATCCTACTCAATCAAATATTTACAGTTAGGATTTTTATCTTAAGATAATCCTACAAAATCAACTTGTAAGATGGAATTTGAAGCTCACTCAATATCATATGTTATTGAAGAACCTGCAACACACATCTCTCTCGTCAAACACAAGACATCTCAGGCGTAAACATTTTAGAACTAAACATCTACATATGATCAGATAATACTCAGATAACTAGTGATCCAATAGGTCAATCAAACACCACCTCACCGACATACTCCTTTTTATATCTAATAAATACATCGCAAGAAAACTAAGAGTGAGATCACACTAGGTTCATCCTGAAAAACTTCCATCAAGAGCAGAATAAATGCCTTCAGGAGATCTTGCACCAAAATTACGATGCTACCTTAGAGACGACGTGAAACGTGTCGAGGAGAAGCTCCAACGTCTCTCTAGCGGAGGCCGTCTCCAGTCTTTGGTTCAAGCGGTTCTTAATGGAAAGCAGCGAAACCTCAACGGATCCTCTGAACTGCTCGATCTTCTCCCGGAGCTCGACCAGCGGGGCCCGCATTCGCACCACAACTGCGTCAACGTCCACTAACTTGGTGCTGAGATTGACGAAATCAGCGTAGTCACGGTTAATAAGGTCAATTAGTTCGTGGTTGAGGGAAGAGAGGTAGTTGTTGAGCTCGGAGCGGAGCGTGTCGAAGGGGACGAAAGTGCGAAGCTCCGAAATGTAGGATTCGGAATCGAAGTCTGGGGAGAGGAATGACGCCGGTTTGAACCACAGCGGATGGGTGTCCAGGGGATCGGAAAAGAGGTCCGTGGCGGATCTTGGTGGTGCCAGGATCGGATCCGCCATTATGATTCCCTTCCGTTTGATTGTTGTTGTGTGGTTGGCTGAAATTTGGTATCAGCAAACCGCAACTATGCCTACCAGAGTGTCCCTCTTCTCTTTCTAATCAAAAACTCCTTCGCAATTTTTCCATTTATACATTTTTATATTATTATTACCATCTATTATCTGATATATTTTTTATTTCTACTTTTTATTTATTTTGTAATTATAATTTATTGTTTTAGAATAATATACTTTTACTATAAGTATTTATTTATATATATATATAAACACATGGGGTGTGCTAATTTGTCTATGTTTTTTTTTAGTTGGTACATTTTAATAACTACTAATGTGTACTGAATTTTAGTAGACAAAAATATTTTTCCTTCTCAACTAAAAAAATGAGAAACTCTCAAATTCTCAGTCACTTCCCTCATTCCTCTCAATCTTTTCTCTTTCATCTCTCTCACTTCAACGTTTTCTTATACTGTAGTCCCAATAGAAAAAATCAGAAATGTTCATCTAACCCTAATCCACCTTCCTCACTTATCATATTTGTTTCTCTCTTAACTCCATACTCTCTCCCACACAGAGCAACCTGCGGCAATTTGTTGCTCTTGCTTGGTTCATTTGTTTTTCAATTTAATAACAAAATAATTGATGATGTTGATGTTAATTTTTTATTGGAGGGTTATTTTTTTTAGTCTTGAGAATGAAAATTATTCAAATACACTTTAAAACTTATAACTCATACAATATATGTATGAAAGTATTTTTATCTACTAAAACACGGTATACATTGCTAAAATGTACGACTGAAGAAGAGCGTACACAAATTAACAAACTCATATATATATATATATATATATATATATATATATATATATATTTACGTGGACACAAAAAGAAAACGGAAAACAAATTTCACATTCTCAACAAGTCAAAAAATAAACCAAAATATAATTTTCCTTTTTACCAATTTGAATAAACATCAAATAATTTGTTCTCATATTTGATTTGTTCGGTGTTTTTTTCAATTTTTTTTATGTATTTTATATCTTTTTTTCTCTGGTTTTGCTTTTAGGTTGCTTTCACTCCTTTATTTTGAACTATAGGAGCTTCAATTAATATTTTGATTTATTTTAATAATTTTCAAGATATTCATAGAGTTTACAATAAATCAATTTACAATAAACTATCTAAATTTATGTTTATTAGGATAATATCCACTTACTATATAGATATTATTTAGGATATGATATTATTATGTTATTATTAATTACATTCTTATTATATGTTAGGTAAATATTATTCTAATACTTTTGAAGCAAGGTTCATCAACCAAAATCTAAAATAATGATTTTGTCATCTCTTGTCTATGTTTCATAAAACATTGCAATTGTTGAAGAAGGACTTTCTTTTTACTTTTCTTAGCTTTGTTCTTACTTTTCCTTTTTTATTAAAAAAAAATCAAATCATCTGTAGAATACAACATTCACATTACAAAAAAATATTCTCACATTTAAATTAAATATCATTAAATGATAAATGTAATACAAAAAGAATTAACCAAATTAAATAACCTGTGTCAAAAGTCATGCGTCAAACAATCAACAAACATCAAAATTATTTTCTACAATTTTTTATTTATTTTTTAAATTAAACTGCATCTTTCACTTAATTCCAAATAATATGTTTTTACAAAGATTATCTCGAAGGAAGAATGTAATAAAAAAAATAATTAGCTCATAGCATATGTCAAAGTTACCACATTTCAATTAAAAAGCATAATTTTCTTGTCAAAATAGAAAATACACAAACATACTAAACAAGAATGCAAAAATATATTTTTTAAATTTATCTCTCGTTTGAGATTTATTTAAGAATTATATATATTTAACAGAGAACAAAATAGAAAAATGAAAACATTTGTATGAGAAAAACAAAAAATGAAAATTGAATCTATACGTGCAAAAAATGAAACTTTACAACTATGTCGACGCATTATTTACAAGATATCTACATATATTAGAACTACCAAATGTTACCAAAACTTATTTATCACATTGTTATTTAATTAGGCTATTATTTGAATTAAGTGATAAAAGTAAGAGGAAATGAGAAAGAGAAAAAAAATGTGAAAACTAAAATTCTTTATATTAGATGAGAGAGAGTAAAAAGGTAATATTTTATTTTAATAATAATAATAATAATAATAATAATTTATTCAATTGTAATAGTGTCCTTTGTTAAAATTAAAAAGAAAATCTTAATATTATAAGGATTTAGTAAATTTTGTGAAATAGTTAGCCACGCTCAATCAATTAGGAACTATATATGATAATTGGCATAAGTTAAAAAAAAAGAAGATAATTATCATGTGCATAATTTATTACATATTCTATGTATAATTATGCATGTTACAAAACATAATCCATTATGTAGCTATAAAAAATCAACATATACATATTTTTTGTTAACGAAGAGTCACGGTTAATGAATTGTAATAACTAATATTAATCTTCAAATCAAAAGCAAATAAAAATAGTTAAATTAATCCATTTAGTATGAGTATCAACCATCTATATACTAATTATTTAATAAACTAATTATAGGAATTAATAATATACATAAAATATTAATCTTATATTAGTAAGAAAAAAAGTAAAGACAAAACTTCATGCTCAAACATAATATATTAATAAATAGATTTAATTAATAATTTAGTTTTTATATTTAAATATTTGATTAATTTTAATTCTTATATTCATTTAAATTATATTTTGATAGTCTTTGAAAGTATTGCATATTAAAATTTAGATATGTTATATATCAAAGTTTACGTTATTTTTCATCTTGAAATCTTTTTATGTTGACACATGACATCTTTAAAGTAAAAGATGTTCTAAAGATTTTAACTTATCATTTCTCATAGAATTAATGCTAATTCAATAGAAATGCTAATTGAGTTTTGTTTGAAAAATAGAAACAATAAAAAAATAAAAAAATAAAAAAAAAATAAAATATCTCAATATAAGTAATAAATTATTAATTAAGCCTAAAAATTATTATGTTTACTTCAAATATATATTCATAATTAGTAAATATTTAATTAATCCTTTTAAAATTCTCCTGCCGGTCTATAAATATTACTTCATATTTGATTATATCAAGCACAACAACTTTAGTGAAATGAGGGGTGTGTTTCCTTAACCCTCTACAGGTTCAAAATCACTTGCAAGGTTTTTGTTTTTCACAAGGACATGTTAATATTTATGGTTTTCCTTGTCATGTTATCACACACCATTAAAATTAACCACATACAATTTTTGAAAGATGCGTGTTTCTTTGAGCATGTTAAAGTGAAGTGTTCCAAAATGCAAGTAATGTGAATACTACAAGGGAGGGGCATGCCATAGCACCTTTTTATTAATTTGAATATTTTGTTTCATGGTACAAAACATGAAAATGCCTTTCGACATAAGTTGTGCATAACTGTTGTCTCAAAGACTCAATATATGAATATAGACATAATGCAATATATATATATATATATATATATATATATATATATATATGGATTAAATGTTTGTAGTTGCTGAAATTCAACATAACATTGAAATTCATTATCATATTATGATATATTTTTATTTTTAAATTTTAAAAATAAATAAATATAGTTTTCTCAAATTAGTGAAATGCATTATCATAATATATTTTTATTTTTAAATTTTAAAAATAAATAAATATAATTTTCTTAATTTAATAAATATTACATATATTTAACGTGTTAAACAGTATTCTAAAATATTAAAACATGCGTAAACAATTTAACTGTCAACTTGAAACGCCACTTCCATTAAAAAAAATATATAATATAGTTGGAAGTAAAATAAATGGTTTGATTCAACTTGAAAGTAAAATAAATAAACAAAAAAAATAAAAATTAATGTAATTGGCCTGAAATGACTGATTTTGGTGAGGATTGTATTAAAAAGTCGTATGCCGAACGAACACTGTAAACATTTGATGATTGCAGAATCCAAATAAAATTGTTGAATAGCTAGGATCCCGCAGGAATCAATTAAAGAGGGCTCTAACACGTCCGTTATGTACATAAAAGTAATAAAACAGATAGATAGAGAGACCGGATCTAAATACTTATTATGCACATGACACCCTGGCTATTTCATCTAGTAGAACTTTTATAACTTGAAAAAATAAAAATAAAAACATGTTCCCTTGGGATGAGGAACAAAACAAAAGTAGCGGAACAGACCAAAATTCTGGAAGGCTTCCCTACTTCCAAAACTCATCATCCCAAATGTACTAAAATTACTTCTTTAATAAAATTCTATATTTCATTTTACAAACGAAATGGCTCAACAGCAAACCTCTGGGAAGCCACAAAAATCGGCAAACTATAAATGTAGGCTTCATGAGATGGAGGCAGCACTGGAGGGAAACTATGCCAGCTAAAGAAAAACTCACATGAAATAGCTGAGTGCTTTCTTTACTCTTGAACCCCCTTCTCCATATAGTTCATTCCATTGTAAAAGCTCAGTCATGTTTACTGATTCAGAAGAAACACTCGCACAAACCTGCGTACAAAGTAACGTATTACTAAAAGTGAAAGGTGGGACAACTCAGTTCGGGAGAGGGCTTTGCATAAATGGAATTTCATTTCATACCTGTTGATGAGCATATTTGAAGTCCTCCATGTTTAATGATCTGATGTCCCCACTGCTACATAACGCTGGAGCCGGTTGACCTTCTGCTAGTGCAGCAACGCGGTCCTATCATTCATCAAACAAAATAAGCACGACTTCCTTTTTAAACATAAACACATTTTCTAAGGATACTATAACTCCCTTTCATTGAAAGCACTGACAGAGTAACAACTTAATCAGGAATGTATTCAAAATCCAAGATCATCAAGAAATAAAAAATTATCCTGGTCTACTATTGCATTGTCTCAACTAAGGTCATAATTTTATATACCATATATAAATAGCGTGCAGACTTTACGGAATGATTCGTGCATTCAATCCATAGATACCAAGCATAACACCAGCATATAGAAGAGTCGTACCTTTTTTTCTTTTTCTAATATCTCTTTAATAGGCCGGTGTGCTGCCGTAACACATAAATTCTGCAGTACAAGAGCAAGAATCAAATATCGACTAAAAATTGAAACATTAGTGATAGGAATTTGGGTATGGTTGAGTGTCTAAGTCCAACATCAAGTAGGTAGTATGGGATGATGATAGATGTATATTTATGTTTAGGTACTTATCGATTAATTTCTAAAGAATAAGGTAACAAGAAAAATAACACCAGCTACCTTAAGATCACTTCCAGAGTATCCATCGGTCATAGTAGCAACTGCATCCAAATCAACATCAGGAGACAACTCCTCTTTGGCCAGTATGACTTTCAATATTTTTGCTCTATTAGGAGCATCTGGCAAATTTACCATCAATCTGCATTTAAAAGAAAAAACATAATATGCTAGGTCTCGTCTCAAGTTAACAAAACAATGGAAAGGGGAGACGAAGCACAACTAAATAAGGTATTCACCTTCTTGGCATTCTCCTTATAACAGCTTCATCTAGGTCAAAAGGCCTGTTAGTGGCTGCCAGCACAAGAACTCTCTCTGTTTCCTTCGTACGTAAGCCATCCCAATTTACCATGAATTCATTTTTCATCTTTCGCATGGCCTCATGCTCCCCTGGGTTTTCCCTCCGACCCAGCATGCTGTCAACCTGAAACAAGGCTAGAAAAGTTATATTCGATTAATCAATACAAAGTAAGACACTTTAGTTAAAAGACTAACCTCATCAACAAATATAACACTTGGAGAAATTTTACTCGCCAAAGAGAAAACAGCTTTCACATATTTCTCACCCTCACCAAACCACTAAAACAAAAAGAAAAAAAAAGCAAGAATGTGAGATGATATGCCCAAAAACTGATAAAGGTGAGATCAAAATACACTAAAGGTGGGTACAAATTTAACCTTAGATGTAATACTTGACATAGAAATGTTAATGAAGTTTGCACCAGCTTCAGTAGCAATTGCTTTTGCGAGCATTGTTTTACCCGTTCCAGGAGGACCAAATAATAGGATACCTTTGCATGGCTTCACAAAAGGTAATTCAAAGCTGAGATAGCAGAATGGATAATATTTTGATAGTCAGTTAGATGATCATCAAAATTATATGTTTTATTTAATTGTTGTAATACCAAAAAGAAATATTTATTGATTATGGAAAAGAAAACTCCAATTTTTTCTCAAAAAAAACCTATCACAGTTGCTTTTAGCTTTTCACAATTAATTGAATTTTTCAATGAAGAAATAAGTTGCATATCCTGCAGAATGCAGCGGTCAATATAAGATATTAATGTGACAACCTAGATGTAAAATATGCCAATCAAACATAATTAATACATGGCAACTGATTCCACTTCCCTCGTTTTCCTCACTTTTAGAGTGGGAACAGAGGAAGGACACTAAAAGATTAATGAAAAATAAAACATCACAAAATCAATCAACTAATCAAATCAACATTGATATCAACCAAAGTAAAGAGAAGAAGCATAAAAATCTTTAAACAATAAAATAAATTTCAATCTACAAAGGAAGTGAACCTTGGTTAATTGCCCCTTGCAAAAAAGCTCAGGTCGCTGTAAAGGAAGCATCACCAACTCTTTCAATGTATCCTTGACCTTTTCAAGAGCTCCAATATCATCAAAGGTAACATCAATGTCACTAGGAGGAATAACGTCAGCCAAAAGCCTCTTTTCAAATTCATTTTCTGTTACAACATCCTGTACAATCAACTTGATTTTAGAATACAGTGTTTATGAACCCTACACTTGTAAGTTGTAAACACTAAAAGGCAAAGCTGGAATGACATCTACATCACAAGCAAGCGCAAACAATCACCTTAAGAGATTTCTTCAGGCTCTTGGACTCATTCTGGACGGACTGCAAGATCCCAATTCCATACTGAATGCTGGAGGAATACCATATCAAAATTGTAAAATACAATTAACCAAATATAATATATCAAATCACAATCAGTGTAAACTAGCAATTACCTCTCACATGACAATACAAGCTTCGAATCAGGCTTAGCTTCTGAATTCTGCATGAGGTGGTGACTTAAAGCCCAACCAATTATCTTCTCTGCATCTGCAATGTGACAAACAATGATATAGGAGAGACCCTATAGACAAATCCAAAAAAGCACCGAATGCTTAGAACATACTTTCATTTGTAAGCGTCTGATCCTTAATGCATAACGTCTCAAGTCCTTCACATTCCATTCCACAACGTCCCAAAACCTATAATTAAAATGAGTTAGCCTATGATTACTGAAAATTTAAAACATCAGAACAGCAACTCTGAATTAACATTGAAAGTATGAATTTATGACACCGTTCAACATCTGTGTCATGTAACCCTATTATGCACAAAATAATTTAATGAAGGTACTAGACTTTCAACTAAATCTGAATTCATAAAAAATTAACCTCAAAATTATAGCAGTTATTGGAAAACTTCCACTAAAACAGACTAAATAAATCAGATGTCTAAATTTTCCTATATACATATACAAGTAAGAAATTACAGAATCAAATAAAGGCCATACAAAATTCCAACTAACTTCTCAGTTTATAAGATTTATACAAAAATGAAAACTCAAAGTGAAATACCAACCACGAATTAAAACTTTAAATGGCCAAACTAGGCCAAGCTAGAGAGTTGACAGAGACAAGGTAAAACCCATAGAAAAAATAAAATTTCAGACCCACCAAGCATCCTTCCACAACTTATACAAGGACTCGTATTCCAAACCTTAAGAAGTGGTGATTGTCATACATGCAAGGGAGACAAACTTCCATGGGCAAATTACTCTTATTGGTTGTTCAACTGGTATCCCATCCATTCATATATAAATCATACTTTGAATTGTTTAGTACCACAATGAAATAATAGGATGAAGAATCATTGCCTCCAACTCTATTTTGTAAACAAAAAATGCAGATGTGATGATATGAAAGACTTTCAATTATGCTGAATAAATTAAATTCACAAGCAACACACAAGGCACTCACTGCACGCAAGTGATGTAAATTCCCTTTGATTTTGAGAGTTTCAACGTCTCGATCCAGTTGCTGCTTCCAAGATGCTAGAAGAGCCTCATCCTATATCAGGGAATATATTATGAATATTGTATAAGGAGAACAAAATCCATGACAAACATTCCACTGTACATACCTGAGGCATGTGAATTATAATTTTATTTGGGAAGAGCTTAGTCAAAGTTCTATTTGGCTTTGGAACCTCCTTCCCTCTGTCATGCAATCGTCCAAAACTATCCTAAAAAAATTGAAGAGGCATAACAATTATTTCCTCAGAAAGCTCAAAGATAGTATTATTAGGTTGCAGGTACGAAGTAATACACAAAAGTACAAACATAGGTCAGCAATTCCTGCTCCCCTCTTTCAAACATAAGTAATAGTAGTGAAAAGGATATTAGTCATTACAGGGAAAGCCAGGTCAAGAAGGGCAGTCTGATTGCTACCAAATTTTGTAAAAAGCAAACCACCAGGATGTGACTGCAGGAGAAAAAAGTTATACATCAATTAAATAATCACTTACGAAGAGATCTAAAGCGGTGAAGTAAGTAAATTCAATAAAGCAAATACGTAAACAATCCAGATTGCATCTTATTTCACTTGAGATATTCGCAATTAATACAAAGCAAAGAGAAATAGAAAGCCAACAACTAGTACAAAATGGTTTTTTAGAGACTGATTAATTTATTCTTTCAACAATGCCATAAACCAAATCACATCACAAAAAGATTCCAGGGTACATTGTACTAAACTATTGACCTTCAACACTTCTAATGCTTGATGACTGGAGCCAAAAAACACCTCGCTGGGTACCACCCCCCACCCTTTTTTAGAATCCTTCAAGATTCTTCAATTATTTTCAAATATGTGACGACAGTTTTCTACCTACTGCTGACTTCTGCAGTCTTGTTCTGTTCCTTAGTTTCAAGTCATCTTTTGTGCCCGTAGCCACTTTCCACTGCGTCAAATACTATTTCAAGCCAACAAGTACAGCCTTGATCTGTTCTGTCCCTATATAGTTATTTCCTTTCATCTCTAGGGCTTGCTCAACAGTCATTTTCCATCATGCCCATCACCTTTGTTGATATGATGTGCTTATTAAGCTCAAAATTCCAACTTTAGATCACTAATTACACGTCTCTAATTTTGACCATTTTATTTTAGTTTTCAGTAAGCAAGTACAGATTATGAAATGTGCATCTCAAAACTTCATAATAGTGGTCTTCTAGCCTACCTGCTCTACCATTTTTCAGGTCAGCTGCTCTACATCACTACTTTGAATTGACTACTGTAGACTTTTCATGTTAAAAAAATGTTACATCATGCAAGTCCCTACATTTTTAAACTTTTACACAGATACCTAGAGCCTTGATGACTTGCACTTATTCCTATAGGAGATCCCATGCATCTTAAAAGTATTACCAATTTATAATATATAAATAGGTGTAAATTTCACTTTACAAGTCTATTTTATAAAGTTGAGTTAACTTAAAATTCATTTTATGAGATAGTGTCAAAGTCTATCCTAACAATGTTACATTGGGTCTATCATGTCACTCATTATCAAACCATCCACACATATTTAGTCTTATACTTGAGATGTTCAGTCCTCACCATGAGGAAAGGAATGTTGGGGATCCTACATTATCTAAAAATATGGCTAAATTATATTATATAAATGGGTGCATACTAGAGATATAAATGTAAAAATTCAGTTATTCAACTGGATGTTAGCTAGTTATCTGTTATCAGTTCTCTTTCTGTTAATCTTTTCTCTATTTTCTCTCATATCAAAATTCTGATATGGTATCTTGAGCTAGAAATTGTCCCGCTGATGACCATGTTTCTGGAATAATAAATCCAGCCTATAAAGAACGGGAAGTGAAAAATCAAATCTAGCAACTTTGCTTCAATTGAAGCTTTAAAAGTCAATATGAATGCTACTTAATGATATTATAAATAAAATCTAACAATATTTTTAACTTTTTGGGTCCCTAATATCCAAAAAAAAAATCGGGATAGGATTCTATTTGGATAAACATCTACAAAGACACTTGTAGAAGAAAATATGAAGGTATAAATTGAACTTCTCACATAAGCTAAAATCAACTTATACACTAATTCACATAAAGCTATTTTCAACTTACTCCAAAGGATAAGGTGAATCATAGACAAGTTTATCCAAAAAAAGGCAAGGACTCTATTGAAAAGTTGGTGTTAAGAAGTGGACTTTAAGTCTAACTCAACCCCACAAAATCAGTTTGTAAGGTGAGGTTTGCACCCACTTATATATTATAAATTGACCTTATCTCTGGTCGATGTGGGACTTCCAACATCCCCCTCCGCCGAGATATAGACATCATCTCGAGCGTGACAATAGACATTAATGCGTGGTCCGATAACGGCCCAATAGCGGGTGAAACAACATGTCCAACAAACAACAAATATCGCTAGGATAGGCTCTAACCATAGCTCTGATACCATGTTAAGAAGTGAACTTTAAGCCTAACTCAACTTCACAACACCAGCTTGTAAAGTGAAGTTTGCACTCACTTATATGTTATAAATTGACCTTATCTTAGTCGATGTGAGACTTCCAACAATTGGTACAGAAATATTTACAAATATTAAAAGAAGAGACCTAAATGTAAATTGCGATACAGGTTCCTATTGTGTACAGATTAGTTTAACCAAAAATATAATACCTTTTCCTTACGACTGTCATTTTGAGTGTGAGAACCTATTACGACCACATTGTTTGGAAGACTTTCAAGCTTACTTTTAAATGCATATGAGTCTCCATTTCCTACAATAGACTTCTCAGCATCTTTCATGAACAAAATGAATGGTGCATTTCTACTTTCACTAAAAACAACCTGAAAAGAAAATTGAATATATATCAATATTTGCAAGATTGAAGCCAAAAATTATTAAAGAAAGTTCTTATACTACAAGGCAGGGTAAATGGCAACCTCAAACAGCGAATGAATAAGTAATTTGTCCAGTTCTTCTACAGCGCTACTTTCCAAGCGAAGATCGGTGACTGGAAACATAAAGTTAGTAAGATACCACTTTATTTAATATATGGATCAAAATACAATAATATACAATTTCTAAAGATATAAAAGTTGTATGGAGTAGCGCATTACCATTGCAGAAAAAACCTTGACCTCCCTCACAGGCACCACCAAGATCAACTCCATCAGGTATGGGTTTATCAAATCTCACACCAATTTTAGACAAGGGATTATCATCAAATAGTAAGACAACCTTCCCCCGACCTCCATTAGATGGCCCCCTATATATGAAATCATCAATAAAAATTATAATGATATATAAAAATTAGCACATCAGTTACACTTTGATTGGACATATAACGGTCCTTTCGTTACACTACTTTGGGCAGTATAAGTATCCATGGTAGCTTGGGCTCAATAGTTCAACTGACATGCAAAATAAAGTCCTAAACACCAATGAAGCAAATAAGTTCAGTTAAGTTTTCTACAAATCCATACCTTGAAGATGTTTGATATACTCCACAAGAAGATGAACAGCTAAATTTCACCCTATCACCTGTGTTGATAATATATAGAAAATACAAATAGTTTAAGATGACAGTACAAAGCGCATGCACTGATGTATGACAGTGCATTTATAATTTAAATTCATAACATCATAAATACATATAAGTTTCAATATTGATAATATCTTGATAAATGTCATATGTAAGTATGTACTAAAATGAAATGAAAAGGTCAGTGCAAATGGATTAATGTATATGACAAAAGCGCACATCTTATTTCCCTTTTATTATTAAAATTTGCTTAAGAGTTAAAAAAACTGCCTAAACCACTGTGCGGTATTCATTTATTTACTAAATTCTAAATGGCCACGTCCCAACCACGATGAAGGTGAAAACGAAAAAAAAAAATACTAACTTTTTGATTGAGTATACATGTTGTGTGTGTGTGTGTGTGTGTCCAACATATGAATGTCACCAAAACCTATGCTCCATGTAAAACCAAAGCATAGTAGAAGAAATGTAGAAGAGTACACACCTAATTTGAACAAGCAACTTTTGGCTGTCCCAGAGGTGGATGGCATGTTATCAGTTTCCAACTTAGGTTGAGAGTCAAAGGCCAGTGAAGGTGCATTTGAAGAGCTAGGTGTCTCTGTTTCAGTAGCAGGTGGATCCACGCTCCCAGCCATTTTTGTTGCTGTAGGACTTTGCTTAGTGCTGCTGAGAGATTTTTCAGCATTTAATCCATCTTTGAGTAGCTCAGCTTCCTTGGAAGATAAACCCTATGATAACACAGCCAATGAAGTTTCTTGTCAGAGTTTTCAGCAAAAAAAATATTCAAAAACCCGGCCCAAAAAGGAAGGCTTATCTTACACCCAAAAGCAAATGACTATCAAATATTAGCAGCTTAGCTCCAAAGTATTTTGCAAGTGCCTTTGCCAACATCTCTTGATATATTTCTGACCCTGTGACCAGCAAAATTTGGCTATTAAGGGAAGAAATACTTACAGAAAAAGATGGAGAAAAGTAATATATAATATTCACACACCTGCAGGTCCTGAGAGGAGAATACGAGGGTTTATGGTTGTAAGATCTGTAGTAAACTTTTCATGTTCTTTATGCCTTAGGTGCATATAGCAAGCAGCCACCAAGACATTTTTTGTGCTCTCACTACAAAAAGGCATGAATGCAAACATAAATACAGTACAAATTAACAATCCATCAAATAAAAGAGTAACAAAAATCATTTCAAGCACCAACACTTGAAAGACTCAATCAAGTTATACAAATTAACCATAGTCTCAATAATAACATCTAAAATTCTATACAAATATCAAATGTACCTCAGCAAATAAATTTAAAATACATGCCAAAAGTTACGTCCTTGGCATACTAAATATATAGGTATTATAAGAAAACATAAACATGAAAAATGAAAGCAAATAATAAATATGCCTGAACACATGGGATACATTCAAATATTTAGAGAAAAGGTTGGCACAAGAAACCTATCTTTAGGAATTCTTATGCAACATAACTATAGCTACCAAACAGAAGAAAAGTATACCTTAAATAGTAAGGGAAGTTGTCAAAAGAAACATCTATTTCTTTCCCATCCAATATAGCAGCATGAACATCTTCTTTAAACACAGCTGAGCGTACAGATGTACCCAAAGTTGATGCAGCCTGCATGTCCAGCGTCCCATTTTTTTCTTCCAATACCTGTTTACAGATACTTTTGCTCAATTTCAGTTTACAACTAGGTCGAGCTAAGATCCTGAAGAAAGGCCTTAGGAAATCATTAACCCCAGAGAGTTTTACATTGCCTGCCTCTGCACCAGCATCCGGATTGCAATCCATTGTTGAATTCTTCTCATTTGTTTGAGCATCTTCTGCTTTATCAGTATGCACATTTGGAGTTGACTCTGAGGCATCAAGCTCAATTTCTGTACTATCATGAATAGGATGACTAGAGACGTCAGTACCCGGGTGAGGTTTACTAGAGGTATGAGTTGGAGATTTCCATCTTGTAAGGTCCTGTTTGATGGAAAGAGAAGCCAAAATAGAGGCCCCGGCCACAGCTGAAGGGTCTCCACTTTTCCTTTCAAGCTGCAGATATTTCCCAACACCACTTGGAACTTCCGCACCCCTTAATGCAACCTCGGTATTAAGTTGCTGGAAAATCTATGTTGAAGATTAATTAAGAAAAATCACCCTTATAAATGTAAGTTAAAAAACTAATACATCTACAGAAAAAAGAAACAATTAATGATCGATAATTCTATAACTGATACTTCTCATTTACTCAGTAAATGAAGAGGATACATAAGAATGATTTCCAAGAACACCAAAAACAACTTCATCACCCGAGTTAAGCACACAGCTGCTATTCTTCTTGACATGCGTTCCATTTACTAGCACAGATCCTTTGCTACCCGTACTTTCTAACACAGCTACAACACTTCCATCGCGCTGATCATATTCAGAAACAACAGCAATCAATTGCGCTTACATATCCTACCATATTCACTTTAAATAAATAAAAATAATAAAAGAACAGAAAAAGAAATCAAAGTTCAATAAGTAATTATAGAGATTACTGTATAAGAAAAATTTGCGTAGTAGAAACGGGCACAATGATCCACAAACATGTGCATACTTTTGAGCATAAAAGAGAGCCTAATCATACACACGGTCCAATCAATGATCCAAAGCTTCATGGATTAAACTTATATAGTCTTCAAACGTACCTGCGTGAGCTTGATCTTGCATAAATTTCCACTTATAGTCTGATCCTTTAGTGCAAAGTTGCAACTTCTATTAGAACCAATCGTGAAATTGGGTATGCAAACAGCAACATTAGGATTCTGCAGCAGTAGCACAAATTTCAAGTTAAAAAGTTAAGAACTAAACAAAAACGCCACGTGCTTCACGTGGAGTCAACACCCAAAAGCATGAACAGTGACTACTACATTCGAAACTTTTCTGATTCACTTCACTCGTTTGAACACGAATTACCTGTGCAGACTGAGACAAAAACCTGCACCACGGTCCTCCCTCGATATTCGGAATCTGTTTCTGATACACACTCCACGAAGAGAAGGACGGACCTTAACAGTAAAACGACGGAAAAAATGTAAGAAATTATTTACTCAATTCACAACACAAGCAGCAATTAAGAAAGTCACAAAAAGTAAAACAAAAAAAAAACTAAAACAACTCAGTACACTAACATGCGGCATCAGCAATCGGTGCCGTGACAGGCACAGCCGGCGTAGCGTCGACTTTGCCGGAGCTCACTCCATCGGCGGAACCGGCTCCGGCGATCTGAACGTCGGCAGAGCCACATTCCCCAGGATCAGGCACGGGCTCCGAAGTACGTAAATCCTTCGAATTCTCCGCCGGTGTCGGCACCGGTTTCTCCGACGAACCACCATTGTCGACCTAAAAAAAATTGGAGCAAATCGCAAAGGCTCAATCGCAGATAGCGACGCTAAGTAACGGCTTCGATGCCGGAAATCTCAGAAACCGAAGCGTCCGGAATAAAGTGAATCGAATATAAGAAGGGAAAGAGAAAAAGAACAAGAACAAGAACAAGAAGAGGAAGAAGAACCTTCTGACGCTTCGGCGAAGGAGGTTTGCTTTCCGATGAGAAAGATCGTTTGGAGTTGTTGGCAGAGAGAGATCCACTCCGTCTCGTCGAAACCATGCTTCCTTTCTTCTTCTCTCTTCTGCTCCCTTCTTTCTCCTCTTTTTTCAAGAAGAGGGGATATCGATGATTTTAGTGATTTTACGTTTTCTTCTTTTTCATGGGAGTTAAATCTTTTTCTTTCCTTTTTTTATTATTCGCCTTTTTAAATTGCTCCTACCATGCCATACCATGTGCGTAAGTTAGTATTTTGCCTTTGGTGGTTGCGCAATTTAGCCACGTACGTATAGGTGTCCATCATTACAATACGCCTTTTATAAAAATAAAAAGACTACAATAATTTGTACTTTGTGTGCAAGAAGTGGCAGTAACCATATTTTTAAGAAACATTTATTAAATAAAATAAATTACAAGACAATGATTTCAATTAAAAAAATATATATTAAAATATGTTGCTTCTGTCCATTTTCTTAATACAATACAATAAGTATTGTAACCTCTCATAAGACTTGTTTGGTAGCTGAGCTATCTTTTCTGAAGTGTATTTTGAGTCCCTGACTCTGACTCTGATTCTGCCTTGTATTCATTGCGTGGAATTTTGGCACGCGTCCCACAGGTGAAGCAAATCAATGCTCAGTTGTATACAGATGCACTGTTTACTTTTTCTTCCTTCGTTTGAGAAGGTGCGTAATCATTTTTATTAACAAATAATTAATTATCTCATTTTATGACACAAAACAATTCACACCAACCAAAATTTTGCGGTGCTACGTCTTCCAACCCTTTCTTATAATTATCAAATATTGTTCAAATAATAATATGATAAAGAGATATTTCATGCGTTTTGAATTAATATTTATAATTTGCTATCTGAAAATCGAAAACTAAATACAATTTTAATTCTACATGTTAATCTAATATTTTAAGGATGAAAATAACAAATTAACTCTTTGTGTAGTTTTCTGTAGTCTCTAACTAATATTGATAATGAATAACAAAATGTTGTTGGTAGTTACTCCTTCTTCCAATAAATACTAATTACTCTCTAGTCAAACTTGTTAATATATGTATAAATAAATACATAAATACAGATATGGGTACAATTTTGTATATTCTAATTCTATTTACGGCTACAACAAATGATTAAAGTATTTAACAATTATCATACTATGTACAATACTCTATGGTTATTGTGCAGAATATATTTTATATATAGTAATGGTTGAAACGTTGACTGCATCTGTTGACTTTTAGAAATGATTAATAAAAAGAAAACACTTTAATCTCTATCCATTATAGTATATGGAATCCATTTGATGATTGTAAAAGTGTATTGATAGCGTGGATACAGAATCATGTTTAGTTGACAAATTTGGTTGTCTTTGAAAACTATCTCTGTCATTTATCCAGCACTGGAAAAGATACAGTAACATTGAAATGGTTACTATATCATTATCCCAAATGGTGGCTAAAGTTTGTGATACTTTAGGCAGACATTGCATGTTTTCTGGTTTCACACCGTCATACAATTGCGGATTTCTGTAACCAATCATTCATAACAGTGACAGTGAGAACCCTTGTTGTTATCATATAATTAATTAAAGTTAAATTATAATTTTGCTCTGTTTAATTTATCGTTTCTAATTTTTAATTTTCTNCAGAAAAAGAAATCAAAGTTCAATAAGTAATTATAGAGATTACTGTATAAGAAAAATTTGCGTAGTAGAAACGGGCACAATGATCCACAAACATGTGCATACTTTTGAGCATAAAAGAGAGCCTAATCATACACACGGTCCAATCAATGATCCAAAGCTTCATGGATTAAACTTATATAGTCTTCAAACGTACCTGCGTGAGCTTGATCTTGCATAAATTTCCACTTATAGTCTGATCCTTTAGTGCAAAGTTGCAACTTCTATTAGAACCAATCGTGAAATTGGGTATGCAAACAGCAACATTAGGATTCTGCAGCAGTAGCACAAATTTCAAGTTAAAAAGTTAAGAACTAAACAAAAACGCCACGTGCTTCACGTGGAGTCAACACCCAAAAGCATGAACAGTGACTACTACATTCGAAACTTTTCTGATTCACTTCACTCGTTTGAACACGAATTACCTGTGCAGACTGAGACAAAAACCTGCACCACGGTCCTCCCTCGATATTCGGAATCTGTTTCTGATACACACTCCACGAAGAGAAGGACGGACCTTAACAGTAAAACGACGGAAAAAATGTAAGAAATTATTTACTCAATTCACAACACAAGCAGCAATTAAGAAAGTCACAAAAAGTAAAACAAAAAAAAAACTAAAACAACTCAGTACACTAACATGCGGCATCAGCAATCGGTGCCGTGACAGGCACAGCCGGCGTAGCGTCGACTTTGCCGGAGCTCACTCCATCGGCGGAACCGGCTCCGGCGATCTGAACGTCGGCAGAGCCACATTCCCCAGGATCAGGCACGGGCTCCGAAGTACGTAAATCCTTCGAATTCTCCGCCGGTGTCGGCACCGGTTTCTCCGACGAACCACCATTGTCGACCTAAAAAAAATTGGAGCAAATCGCAAAGGCTCAATCGCAGATAGCGACGCTAAGTAACGGCTTCGATGCCGGAAATCTCAGAAACCGAAGCGTCCGGAATAAAGTGAATCGAATATAAGAAGGGAAAGAGAAAAAGAACAAGAACAAGAACAAGAAGAGGAAGAAGAACCTTCTGACGCTTCGGCGAAGGAGGTTTGCTTTCCGATGAGGAAGATCGTTTGGAGTTGTTGGCAGAGAGAGATCCACTCCGTCTCGTCGAAACCATGCTTCCTTTCTTCTTCTCTCTTCTGCTCCCTTCTTTCTCCTCTTTTTTCAAGAAGAGGGGATATCGATGATTTTAGTGATTTTACGTTTTCTTCTTTTTCATGGGAGTTAAATCTTTTTCTTTCCTTTTTTTATTATTCGCCTTTTTAAATTGCTCCTACCATGCCATACCATGTGCGTAAGTTAGTATTTTGCCTTTGGTGGTTGCGCAATTTAGCCACGTACGTATAGGTGTCCATCATTACAATACGCCTTTTATAAAAATAAAAAGACTACAATAATTTGTACTTTGTGTGCAAGAAGTGGCAGTAACCATATTTTTAAGAAACATTTATTAAATAAAATAAATTACAAGACAATGATTTCAATTAAAAAAATATATATTAAAATATGTTGCTTCTGTCCATTTTCTTAATACAATACAATAAGTATTGTAACCTCTCATAAGACTTGTTTGGTAGCTGAGCTATCTTTTCTGAAGTGTATTTTGAGTCCCTGACTCTGACTCTGATTCTGCCTTGTATTCATTGCGTGGAATTTTGGCACGCGTCCCACAGGTGAAGCAAATCAATGCTCAGTTGTATACAGATGCACTGTTTACTTTTTCTTCCTTCGTTTGAGAAGGTGCGTAATCATTTTTATTAACAAATAATTAATTATCTCATTTTATGACACAAAACAATTCACACCAACCAAAATTTTGCGGTGCTACGTCTTCCAACCCTTTCTTATAATTATCAAATATTGTTCAAATAATAATATGATAAAGAGATATTTCATGCGTTTTGAATTAATATTTATAATTTGCTATCTGAAAATCGAAAACTAAATACAATTTTAATTCTACATGTTAATCTAATATTTTAAGGATGAAAATAACAAATTAACTCTTTGTGTAGTTTTCTGTAGTCTCTAACTAATATTGATAATGAATAACAAAATGTTGTTGGTAGTTACTCCTTCTTCCAATAAATACTAATTACTCTCTAGTCAAACTTGTTAATATATGTATAAATAAATACATAAATACAGATAGGGGTACAATTTTGTATATTCTAATTCTATTTACGGCTACAACAAATGATTAAAGTATTTAACAATTATCATACTATGTACAATACTCTATGGTTATTGTGCAGAAAATATTTTATATATAGAAATGGTTGAAACGTTGACTGCATCTGTTGACTTTTAGAAATGATTAATAAAAAGAAAACACTTTAATCTCTATCCATTATAGTATATGGAATCCATTTGATGATTGTAAAAGTGTATTGATAGCGTGGATACAGAATCATGTTTAGTTGACAAATTTGGTTGTCTTTGAAAACTATCTCTGTCATTTATCCAGCACTGGAAAAGATACAGTAACATTGAAATGGTTACTATATCATTATCCCAAATGGTGGCTAAAGTTTGTGATACTTTAGGCAGACATTGCATGTTTTCTGGTTTCACACCGTCATACAATTGCGGATTTCTGTAACCAATCATTCATAACAGTGACAGTGAGAACCCTTGTTGTTATCATATAATTAATTAAAGTTAAATTATAATTTTGCTCTGTTTAATTTATCGTTTCTAATTTTTAATTTTCTTGGTTTTATCTAATTCTTGTTTGTATATATTTTTTACTTATCAAATATTTTTTTTATTTTTGATAGAAAATAAAATGTGTTTTTTCTCCAAACTATAATATATTTTAATGTTTAAACTTTAAAAATAAATTAATATATTTCTTTTAATTTAATTATGTTATTTTTTTGAAATATTAAACGTGCTAACATTTTAATTAGTTACATCACTTTATATGTTTCTATTTTAATATTAGTTGAAAAATATATTTGATACGAAAAAAATTAATATAATTAAAATAAAATAATTATATTCATTTATTTTAAAAAATGAAATTTAAAATGTATTAAAAACTTTTATATAAATAAATTTTAATTTTGTTTTTATTAACTAAACACATATTTTATCTTTTTATATTATAGTATGGTTAAATCTTAATTTAATAAATTCCATAAAACACTCCCATATCTTGTTTTCACAAAGACTTATCATGTATCTTCTATTTTCTCTTTATCTTTATCGTCTTATAAAATCATATATTTTTATAAATATATCACTTTTTTTATTTTATTTCTCTCTCATAACTGTATATAAAACATTTTTCTTAAATATAAATGTATGTTCAAGAACAATACTATAAGAAATATAATTATAAATTTAAATTATGACAAATAAAATTAAAAGGTATTTGTGACTTTCTTCTTTTTTTATTTCTCTCTTCTTTTTTCATCTCTCTTACTAAAAAAAAAGTTTTTTTTTCTCTAACTTATTTCTTTCCATTTTATGATCATACCTAGGAGTAGATGACGATTTAGGAATTACTGCTAACCCATTAATTTTGTAAAATGAAATAGGTTTTATTTATTCTAAATATTAATTTTTTTATGAATTTATATTTTGGTGGAATTTGTTAAGGAAAAAAAAGTATTTTTACTTAATCAAATATTTTGTTTTGGATCTCTGATATTTGGAAGCTTTATGATGTGAATGTGGATACATATCTTAAAATTTATGGACCAGTGATATTTTATTTGAAAACAGTTTAATATTTTATGTGGAATATTTGAGTTTTGAATTTATAAATAAGCATGTGCATCTCAACTGAGTTATCACATCGAATTATGTCATTCACACACACACACACGTATAGATAAAGAGATATAATCCATTAAACAAGGTACCTTACTATAATTTTTTTAAAATTTAATTTAATTAAAGTAGTCTAATCTCTTGTTATTAAAAACCTTGTAAGCCTAATATATTGTTTTTCTTCTATACTTTTATTTAAATTATTTTGTTATTAATTCAAAATATTAACTAGATTAATAGCTAACATTTATTAAGAAATCTAATTAGCTCATTTCCTCACTGTATATTAATAATAACTTATTTATTTTAGCAAATAATAGTAATATTAAAGTGTAAGTGCACTAAATAATTATTGCATTAAATCCAATTAGTAATACTTTTGTTATCCATATACATATGAATATTTAAGAGAATAATCTCGAATTATAAATTAATTATCAATCAAAACCAGTTTGTAATTTTACAAGTTGCTTTTTCGGAGTTTAAGTTGATAATCTCGATTTTGCTTAGAGGATGTATTTAGAATAATAAAGTGAGAAAAGGAAAAAAAAAGAAATATATATATATATATATATATATATGCAATTAAGTTTTGAATAAAAAAAGTTTGAATTGATTTTTTAAGTCTATAAATGTTTAAATGTAATGTAATGTGGTTATAAAGAGGAGGTATACCCGAATGTCCTAAGTCAAGTGTGTACCCCAACGAGCTTATATGTGACAATAGTGTGGTATGTCTTCTTCTTCTTCTTTGTCTTTTACTTCTTTATCTTCTTTTTTGTTTTTTCTTTTTTAGGGTTTGGAGTTTACTCTTGTGTGTTGGGAGTAAAGTAGTGGGTCTTGGTCGACTAATTGTTCTTCTTTTTTGGTAGTTGGTTGAGGAAATGCTCTTCTTCTTTCCTTGGGACTTCACCGAATCAGTGTTGTTCGTCTTACAATGACAATAGCCCAAAAAAAATAATTTGAAACGAAAGCCTTGCATCCCAATTCACAAAACTTAGATAACAAAACAAAATGCCCAAAATCAGATAACAATTAAAACCCTAACTCGCAAAATCAAGAACCCTAAATTCCCAATTTTAGAAAACCTACATCTGAAACACGAACTAAAATGCAGAAACCCCAAAAACAATAACTCAATTTGAATCCATAAAGAAGACGAAGAAATTCCAAGGCCGAATCAAAATGCAGCAAAGAGACCCCAATTATGCATGAGCACCGATATATTAAGACAATGTGACTTTACGACTTTACCATACTCTTTTGACATATAAAGAAACAATTAACTTAACTATTGCATATTTAACAAATGAGACTTAGGTGTGAACGAAATTAAAACTTTTTTAAAATGGAGAACCAACTTGGCACACTACAACGAAACTATGGACAAAGTAGACAATTAAACCTAAATATAAATTTTAATATATTAAATTTAACTTCCATCTAAATATGTAAATCGAAGTTAATAATTAGAAGAACTTAGATAATATGGTGGTTCGGCCGTGGTTGGGTGAGGAAAATGAGAAGGATATAAAACAAATTGAGTTAATTAAGTAAAAATAAAATAAAAAAAAGTTTTGAAAGATATGAGTTTTTAATTAAGTAAAAAAAATAAAAGAAATTAAGACTTTTGACTTGTTATATCAATTGAATAGTTTTTTTTTTTCGATTTTATATTGGGATGGCCAGAAGATTTATTTAGGAGTATCAATCAACTCAATTGGGTTCACATATGTTGACTCATTATAGATTAAACTAAAAATGGATTAGCTTAATTCGACTTATTTTTTATGAGTCTAAAACTTTGTAATTTGAATTTTTGACCCATTACGGGTTTGATCAGATGTTTTATAATTTAGTGTGAGTTTTAAAACTCTATTTGTAGAAAAAAAGTTAAATATAATACATTTTCATAAACTCCACATGCTTCAAGATTTTTCATTAAAGTTATCACAAAAGATTTTTCATTAAAAGTTATCACAAATAGTTTACATAATTATACATTTAGAATAAACAATTATGCTAACTCTTCAATTTAAATTTGTTCTCTCTTAGAAGAAAACTATCATTTTCTTTTATTGATTAGTTAGCTTTATATAGTTAAGTCCTTATACTTTTCAATAAATTCCATTAATAACATTAAAGTCACTTATTTATTTTGATGACTAGCTTAGTCTTGTGTGACAATAACAACAATACATCACAACATAATAACACAATAGCTATAACTCCAACAACCATAATATAAATAAAGGTCATACACTTTAATATATATATATATATATATATATATATATATATATATATATATGAAAGGCACTCACCATAACATTTATTTCTTTTCATTGTCATGAAAAAAAGCAAAAATGATTCTTTTATTTATTTTTTCAACAATTTCTAAATCCAGTAAAGCTATTAATATGAATAAAAAGATATTGATATGAATACAATGAATAAAAATACATTAAAATTAAAATGAATCAAAGTTTTATATAATTGTTGTTAACTAAAGAACGAATTATATATCCAAAAATAAAATATGAAAAAGTAAAAATACAATAAGGAGAAGTGTCCCGTAAGGAATAATTATAGCATATTATAGCTAAGAGTTAAGATTATAAGGCCTCGGCTTTGTTGGTCCACATGTATATAAAGCGCATAGGGAGAGAAAGTTACGGTATGTTTGGTGTCGTGGCTTAAGTTTTATAGTGTGTTAGTGTGACACTGCGAAGAGCACACGAGAGGCCAAGTCCTCTCCTTTTCACTGCGGTTGCGAAACCTCACTTCCATTCCATGGTAATGGATGCACCCAATCCTTCTTCCTCCGCCGCCTCCTCCTTCCTCGCCAATCTCCCCTCTCGAGGCCACTTCTCTTCCACCGTCGTTTCGTCCAATCCGGTACTTCAATTCCCCTTTTTCTCTTCTCATTCTTTATATTTTTTCGATTTCGGATTTCGAGACCTACCTACATTCACTGCGATGATTTCAGATCCGTGTGCTTTCAGAACGTTTTCTCCCTCTGCCTTTTCGTAAAGCGACTGGTGAACTAAGCGATTGTTATTTAGGCTTTTTGACTGTGAAATCAGTTGATGTATTGCATTAACTTTTTTCACTGTCTCTAGTTTATGGAAGTTCAAGGTTTTTTTTTAGCGGGGAGGAAAAATTGGAGAAATTTATTCAACTTAGTTTGTTTTAAGGGGGTGTTATGGAGTTTTAATCCAAGTTGTGAGGGTTAAAATTTGTGGTGTTTTAAAACTTGGATGATTATATGGCTGAGATAGCAACTAGTTCACCGCTACTAGAATAGAAGTTTCATATGGTATGGTTAAGGGCTTTGTTTCGTGGATTGATATGCATTTGTAATGCTGGCTTCTTGTTGTGTAAGTGGCAATGTATTGAATATAAACTTCTTCATAGATGCTGTTGGAGAAGACAATGAGAAGGAGAAAATGAATATAGTTTTTTGCACAGAGCAACTTATGCACGTTAGGTTTTTGAGAAGTTAGAGAAGAGAGTTCATAAGTTGATTTTGGCCCGTGAGAGAAACTCAATTCACTTTCCCTTCACCCATGGGTGCTTTTAGAGAAATTTATCTAAACAGGGTCATATGACATTATAGTTATTAGCTAGTGATTCTGTAACCATACCTTCGGTTGATGCACATGTTTCTTTATGTTGAGTTGTAAATGTCATGGTGAATTTTTTTTGTTCATTTTCTCATGGAAAACTACATCCCTCCAATTGGTGGAACTTAAAGAGACCTCCTGCTTTTAATTGTTATTTGTTATATGAGAGACATTATGTTTTAATTTGATATTCTGATCGTGCAGGGGGGGAGAGGGCCTATATATGCGATTCATGATACATCGCCACCAGGTCTTATTCTTACCTTGTTCAACTTGTACCCACATATTGTTACGGCTTCAAATTTTGGTATGTTGCCTGCTGCCCAAGCAGTAACCTCAGAGAAGAAACAAACAGAAATGTTTCATCGGTGTATAAACTCTCTCTTCCTTATAAACACCTCTAAGCCACAAGTTTCCTTGTCATTGCCAGTTGTAAGATCAGTTATTTTTCATCCGCATGGGAAAATTTACTCTGCCAGATTCAAATACTGTTTGTTTACACATAATTTAATGTAGAGGCATGTCCATTGATCGAAACTTTATCATGAAATAGTATATATGCGAACATGTGAGTTCATTATGAAGTTTGGTGTTCATTATGAAGTTTGGCTTCTTCGCGCTTACTGTTTTTATCGTCACTTATCTTTGTTTTGGTAGTCTTAATTTAGAGAATTCTTACTCGTAAAATTTACCTCTAAAAAATTTCTGACCATCCTGTTGGTCATAATGCTATGATTTATACTCTTCCTATCGATAGTAGCTTTGACTTTTAACGTTTTTCAATAGTAATAGTTGTAGAAAATAGGCATTTTTTATTCCCTTGGTTATGCAGAAGGTCAACATATTAAGACAAACCAACAAAACATACTGATTAGATCACTCACCCTCAAGAAACAAAGGGGCGATTCCAGCTCAAAGGATGGATCTGATGGTTCCAGAAAGAGGTATTATTCCCACCTTTTGTGGAAGAGTGATATTTCAAGTGTACATTATGGTCAATGTACAAATTCCCAATCAATTTTTTTTCTCTTACAGCTTGGTAACTTGTTGAAAAAGTTATGGCATCTATCCCTCATTATCTGGTGCCTATATTTTTATCTTGGTCTTTATTTATTGAATACTATCTAATCAAACCTTTTTGTCAGGAATGCTGAAAAGGTTTTGGAAAGATCTTCAGCCAAGAAAACAAATAATCAAATAAATTCCCGACAAGGTGGGTTCATGTGTTGTATCCATAAGTTAGCATGGGGTGAAATCTGGAAATATATTGAAGATTTTTGTCATAAAGTAATGACCTCCAGAGAATGAGTTTGCTCCGAAAAAAATGTTATTCTTTTTCTTGATATTACTAGTTCAAAATCAAAATTCTCATTTAGGTCCAACATTACTCATGTCTTAATTATACTTTTTGAAGACATGTCTCTGATACATGTTCAGACGTGCATGTCAACCTCTTTTTAAATAACTCGATAAACATTTTCTCTAATTTTTTAGTAAATATGGACTGGATAGACATAACCTTCATGTTTGGTAATTTATACTGAGTTCTATAAGGTAGGTATTTCTTAGTGTTATTTAAGAAAGTGCTGTAGAACACAGGAAGGTGAGTGTGTTTCGAAATGTATATGATATGAGAACTTTTAAGTTCCATGTCCTCAAAGTGCACATTGCGTCCCAACTCTAGGAGTATTTTGACTGATATGAACCAAATTATGGCTGGTATGGTGTATTAAGCTGGGTTCCTAAAAGGAAGTTTAACTGGCAGTAGTTTAGGACAAACCTAAAACAGAACCGTGGTTGGTCGTTGGTGCTGTATATGTCCTTGTAAATTTAAATTCAATTTTTTTCTTGGAAAAGACGTCAGTTCCTTAACCTTGTTTTTGAAGAGTATAGAAGTCAGATATCTGCTTACTGATTTATGCTTTGATCTTAACCTTTCAAATATACATATATGTTAGTTTTTCTATGTAGTGATTTCCTTTAATACATGTTTTGCATGTAATGATGCTTGTTTTTGCTGTAGAATTTCAAAGTGGGGTTTTAATGTTTTATTAATTCGTATAATCGAAAGTGACTAGTGTGGTCTCCTGAGAAGCAAGAGAATTTGCTTTGCATACTAAACCTTTAAGAGGTCGATGGAACTTATAGCTTGCTTTTGAATGACATGATTTTTCACGACTTTGATTTGGTGAGAGTGTTGGAGGTTCAATGCTCTAGCAGGACTACCTATCCTCTTCCCTTTCACCATGAATATATCCTCCAGTGACAGAGAGACTAATAAAAGAATAATGGTAAACAAGATAGGTTGAGTTGCCTCCTGAGCTGTTCTCTGATTATTTTGAACTTATGAGGAAAGGATTTCAGCTGAGGTCATATGTTCAATCCATAGCAATGGTTCCTAATTGAAAGAGACTTACTTAGCAGGCTGGATCTTTTGTCCTCTATATTTCAATTTGTCTTATTATGGGTTTTAATCATACAGAGGGATCAAACAGTCAAACAGCCACTAGGGACTTGCACAACCTGACGGTAGAGAGACTTCGTGCTCTTTTGAAAGCTAAAGGTCTTTCAACCAAGGGAAAGAAGGCAAGTTTCCAGTCTTCCTACAGTTTTAACATACATGCATTTGGAAGATATCGCTCATAAATTTGCTTGATAGTATTTTGTTTACTCCATACGTCACAGTGTAGTGGTTGTCAACTGGTATATTATTGTCCATGATTGATTGTTGTCAAGGTGCTCGCTTACCTTCTCTCCTTACCCTAATAAACGAAATAAAATCTGCAGGAGGAGCTTATTACTCGTCTAAAAGACGCAACTGGTTAAAGCATAGCGTGGTGGTAGGAATATCCTGTTCATTAAGCATCCAATGTAAGAGTAGTTAGTGTTTAATGTAACTTAGGATCTGGAACTAATATATATATATATATACATACATACCCAGTGCAAAATACAGTTACAGATGAATATTATCGTTTTGGAGCTATTACCGTTTCGCGACTATCAAGTATGTTTGTTGGGGCATGATTTGTAGGGGTCAACTACAGAATTGGACAGTCAATGGTGGTTTTCAAGTTTTAATTACGATCTGCGGTTGCATCCTTGTCTTTAGCATATCAACTCTTGTTAAGTTAGACATGTAACGGTTACCAATAACATGAGGAATATCTTGTATTGTTAACCATTGCATTGAGATTTTTTAAATAATCAAGTAGTCAATTCCAACATCTATTTGGCTTTTACCTTTTCAAAGCATTCACCCTTTCAAACGGTTGAGCTGCGGCCGACAGTGCTGGAAATAGACTCATACAGGGCTTTCACGGTTCCGTTCGATGGACACAAGCATAATATCACCACCATATGAGATGACCACTATCCTTTTCATTTTATACTCTTACGTTTAGATAATATTATTATCACATTTATCATATTTTGTCTATTTCTTCTCTTATTTCAAAGGAGAATTAGATTATATTTAACGAGTTAAAATAAATCTTTTCTCTCTCCTATTTCTGTATAAATATTCAAACAATAATTTAATTATAATGATAATTAAAATATATAAAATATTTTATTATTAAACCTTTTGTATAATTGTGTTATTATTAATCTACGTGATAATATGCATTATAATTTTTTATGTAACATGCCATGGTATATGTAATTATTGTGACATTTAAATTATATTATTTATTACAATGTAAAATGAAATATTAAATATTTAAATATTCTTTAAAAAATTATTTTTAAATGTTATAATTTATGTAATATAAAAAAATTATATGAATAAATTATATTTTTTGTATAATTATTTAAAATTGATTTTTAATAATTTTCTTAGTTTGTAAAGAAATATAAATTAAAGGCTAATTTTTGATAAATTATATGAAATTTTAATTAGGAATCGTTATTTAAACATAACATATGTTATATAGCAACATTTTTTAGTTTGTTATTTTTTTTTTATAAAGTGTGTACTTATAATTTATGAGGAAATTCTCTATTAGAGCTGGTAGGTATTAGTTATTCTTCATGTTTTTTTATTAATATTCTGAAGCTTCTTATTTCAATAATAAAGAATCAATACAATTTGGTTTGTTATAT